GGGGGGGGGGGGGGGGGGGGGGGGGGGGGGAGGGCGTCTGGTGCCCTGGGCGGGTCTTTATCAACAGAGGACAGGGCTGCTCTGGGAGTCTGGGCACTAAAGCCTCTCCAGGTGCCAGTTCCTGGGCCCTCGTCCCTGCCTTGCCACGGTACCCCCTTCCTGCCCGGGCCCCAAATGCTGTCCGGCGCGGGCTCGTTGGGGTTCTCCTGGTCCTGATCCAGTTTCCTCCTGTCCCCACCCCCAGTCCCAGTCCTTCCCATTTCCCTCCCCCGGCGCGCGCACCCTCGTTCAGGAGGCAACCGCCTGTCACCTGCCCAGTGCTCCTCGGCGACCACGACCCCTGCAGCCCGCATCGTCCCGAGCCGCCACCGCCCGACCTCCCTCCTGCCGCCCCGCCCCGCCACGCCCCGCCCGCGCGGCAGGTGCTGCCTTGGAGACCGTGGCCAACAGAGCGTGCCCGGGGCTCCGCTCAGGGGGCGGGGCCAGCGCGGAGGCGTTTCCTGCCCCGCGGAGGGGGTGGGACTGGTTGTGATGACAGTTCGAGGACGGGGAACTCTGGGCCAGGCTGCTGTAGGGCCACCCTGACTTCCCATCTTTGGAAAACAAGGAAAGGCAGGCCACTGAGTGGGAGGAGATACTTGCGACAAATACTGCTAGGGTAGGCAAAGGACTCCTACCAATCAAGAAAGAAAATTCAGTGAAAGAACGGGTAAATGACTTGGACAGGAATATTACAAAAGAAATCCAAATGGCGGATAAATATGTGTTTTTGATTGAATTTGCTTAATTCATTAATAATCAGAAGAGGGCAAATTAAAACCATAGTGGGTATCTGTGACTCCTTACTCACCAGATGGGCAGAAGTCAAAATATCTGAGTGTGCCCAGGGTAGAGGAGGATGCGAGGCAAAGAACCCTCATGTGCTACAGAGGGGAATGTGAAGTGGCGCAGCCACTTTGGCAAATGGTTCGAGGTTAGCTGGGATATATATATATATCCTATGATTCAGCAATTTCACTTTTAGGTGTCTAGCCCCTAAACTTATGCACCCAACTGAAAATAACTGAAATGTCCATCAACAATAGAACAGTTAATTAAAATGTGATATTCCATACCCTGGCCTACTATACAATAAGGTCAATGAATGAAATACAGCAACAACACAGAGAGATCGTAAAGCCTCTGCCTCCTGGTTTCAGCTTAGGTCCTGATCTCAGAGTTGTGAGATGGAGCCTGCAAGGGCTCTGTGCTCAGTGAGGAGTCTGTTTATATTGCTCTTCCCCTCTCCCTTTGCCCCTCTTCCCTGCTCAGGCTCTCTCTCTCTGAAATAAATAAATAAATAAATAAATAAATAAATAAATAAATAAATCTTTTAAAAAAATGTTGAGCAAAAAACCCCTCAAAATACATATTGTATGATTTTATATATAAAAATTATAAACAGGAAAAATTAAACTGTACTATGTATGGATGTACAGTTAATGGAGAGAACTATGAAAAGAAGCAAAGTAGTGATTGTCATGAAGTTAGGATTGTGATTAGCTCTGGCCTGCATGGGGGAGGGGGGCGTCGGCAGAATGTTTGTGCGATTGTGTTTCCCGACTTAATGCTGGTCACATAGATAACTCATTTTATAACAGTTCATTAAAAGCTTTATTTACATTCATGTATATCTATATAGAATATTTCACTATTAAAAAGCCTTTAAAGAAGAGTAAAAAAAAAGCGTTGGGAATTATATTCACATTAACATAGCATTAAAACCGCAAGTAGATTTGAATAACTAGCTGCAAAGAGGGAAGAATGATTCCAGTTGCCTCATTCATGATAGGAAACTGAGAATTGGAAAATATCTTGACTACTCAATTTTACTATTTTTTATTTTGCTTTTTATTCGAGTTAGATATTTTTTTAAAAACTTCTTTGACAGCAGGTACCTTGTCTTATGAGTATACAACAGAACCTCAACGTTAAGAAATGAAAGCAAGGTAGCCCAAAGCATTGGTGCTATTCTGCCCAGCATATTATACAGATTAACATTAGAACCACTGCAAGGGTGCAAACCAACCCCAGGCAAAAGGATTTGTTCCCCACAGCAGCCTCTGGAATATGTTATGGAGTTGTTGCTGAGTCATGCCCTTGTCCGCCTCCTCATCTGCTGGTCTGTGGAAACAGATGCTGTGGTTCTTCAGACCCGTGAGGTGCTTTCTGCACTATCTAGAAAAGATTTGATGTTGCTTTTCTGCAAATGATATTTCCTATGAGATTCAGGAATCTACCAATCCAGCAGCTACTTTCAGAGACTAGTCACACCCAGAACATGGGGTACCCTGAGCCTGATTTTCCTCCTTCCTCCTCTGTAACGGCTCTCCTGATTATTCTGATTTAAAGCAACTAAAAGCTGAAAGAATAGTCAATGATTGGCAGTTGGGGTCCAGTCAGGAGACAGAAGCCACACCAAGTTATTTTAACAGAAATGATCTCATGTGAAGATTTATGAACTGAAACATTGAAAGGAGAACAGGGGTATCGCCTGGAAGGAAGCCACCACCTGCCCTGTTTCTAGGAGAACCCTAGGAAGAATTTGGAATTATTAAACTTGACAAGCTTGGAGGAAGGGGCCAGAGCGGGGATCCAGGCCTCCAAGGAGGAAATATAAAGCTGATGAGTGCTGGTGTCTGAAAAGGGGTGATGAGGCTGGTTCTGGGGACTTGGGAAACCAGAAATCAACTGCTGTTACTGAAACAAAGAGGCAGCAAAGACGGAGCAGTCCCTTTTTCCTTTTTCCTTTCCCAGCCTTGCGGTCTCCCTCTAGTGCCCCCTACTGGCAGGCTTGACAAGGAGCAGGCGGGAGAAAGGCGGTAAGGAGGGGTTGCCCCCATCACAACAGACTTTGTGAGTGTAGTTGAAGCTGAGAGACCCTGGTTTAATAAGCAGCACAGCAATAGTCTCTCTTTCACAGTTCCTAAGAATTAGCGCATACAAGCAAAGCCATAAAGTGCATCGTTTTTATCAGCTGTTATGGCACTAATTATACTGTCTATGTATGAGTAATGCTTCCCAGGGTTTGCAAAGTGCTTTTCTGTGTATTACCTGTTCAGAATTAAGCTGTCAACCCAACCCTAACCAAAACCCAAGAAGAGTGAGAAACACAAGTAAAAAAAATCATCAACATAGATAGGTTAGTAATGCTGGACTGATTTGAATCCTTCTCCACCCTCCTCCATCCACCCCTGCAGCTCCCTACTTCCTACCTCCCTGCCCTGTGCTCTGCTAGCACAGTCTTTCCTCCACTAGTTCTCGCCTCCTGGACTGCTACTCAGTCTATATGACCTTACTGAGCTTCATCTCCTGTAGGAAGAATTTTCAGATAGTCCCCCCACACTGTCCTCATGACTCTTGGCCCAGGGTAGTTCTGAGTCCAGGGGAAGATGGCAGCATCTGGAGACATTTTTTAGTGCCATGACTTAGGGGAGGGGCTACTGGGATCTACTGGGGAGAGGCCAGGGATGCTGCCAAATATCCTGCATATGAGTGGGACAGTCTCCACCACCAAAACCCAACTCCGTTCTGAAGGTTAATAGTGCTGAGATTGACAAACCCCATGCTAGACTAATGGCCCTCGGGCTGTGGCCCCAAGGTACCCAAGTGCATGCTTCCATTGTTACAGGAGCAAACCTGTGGTATTGTATTACTTATGAGTTACTTGTTGACGATTCTGTCACCTCCTTACTCTATGATCAGCTCCTGGAGAGGAACAACTAGCATTGTGCATGCCACTCAATAGATGCTCAATAAATGTTGAAAAACCACAATAGCCTTATAGCCCTTGAACGGAGGGTAGATAACTGTAACCCTATTAGGCCTTTTAATAGAGATATGCTCTTATTTGGCACATGACTAGGATGATTAGATAATTTATTATTTAAGCCCAGGATATGCTCAAAAATAAAAAACAGTTGCTATTAACAGATATAAACTGAAATTTTCACAGGTAGCTAGGAAGTGTGGTTATTCTATGTGTAACTCTAACAAGTTTAATCTTCTGGTTCCTTTCCATATATGTTAGATTAGGAGCAGGTTAGGGGATAAGGAAAGGCACCTTGAGGACAAAGAGAAGGGACACTGCCATCAAGTGAAGAGACAGCAATATCACAAAAATAAGAGATGTTCAGAAAAACCAAGCAACTTGCAGTTGTTTGGCATAGGCAGCAGGTAACCGTCTAGTGGAAAACTGTGAGAATCAGTATGACAACAAGCACGATGATTAATTTCCATACTAACTTTTACAAACTCACACAGAATAGATCAGTTTAATAAATGTGAGTAGAAACATAAAAATCATGTTGTATATTTTACAAAGATTTTTTTTCCTCCAAATATTAAAATGTTTAAAATTTCAAGAGACAAACTCTCAATTATCCGCCCACCCCCCAGCATTTATTTAGAATGACCATTCGAGATTTTTAGAGTACTGAAGTTGTAGTAAGTATGCATTTATAGAGACAGGGCAATTCAACAGACAGAAGTAGGTAACTCTAACCCTGTTCCAGAAGATAGAGTCGAGTGCTGGGGGACCCTAGAGGGGGATTCTGCCTGGTTGGAATCAGAGGCTTTAGGAACGAGATGATCCTATAGGATGGCTCTTATGAATACAGAGCAACAAATCATCAATGACCACCTTTCTTCTTTTTGTTTTTTGTTTTGTTTTCTTTCTTAAAAATAATTTTATTTTTTAAAAGAGATTTTATTTCTTAGAGAGAGAGAAAGACAGCAAGAGAGGGAACACAAGCAGGGGGAGTGGGAGAGAGAGAAGCAGGCTTCCCGCCGAGCAGGGAGCCTGATGCGGGGCTCGAACCCAGGACCCTGGGATCATGACCTGAGCTGAAGGCAGACGCTGATGACTGAGCCACCCAGGCGCCCCCTTAAAAATAATTTTAAAACATTTTTTAATTATATTTTTTATTATGGACATTTAAAAACATATACAACAGTAGAGACAAAAGGATAACAAACACACATAATAGAGATATGCTCTTACTTGGCACATGACTAGGATGATTAGATAATTTATTATTTAAGCCCTCTCTCTTATTTAAGAGAGAAAAGGATAATGAACTGTAGCCCTCGCCCAGCCTCAACAAAGACCAACATGTGAGCAGTCTTGTTCCTTTTTTTTTTTTTGAGGTATGAACTTTTTTTTTAAGATTTTATTTATTTGTGTGTGAGAGAGAAAGAGCACACAAGCAGGGGGAGCGGCAGGCAGAGGGAGAAGCAGGCTCCCCGCTGAGCAAGGAGCTCGATGTGGGACTTGATCCCAGGACCCTGGGATCACAACCTGAGCTGAAGGCAGACACTTAACTGACTGAGCCACCCAGGTGCCCCAAG